TGTTAGTGATTGTTAACGACCAACCTTCGTTAACGATCGTTAACGACAACCCTTCGTTAACGATCGTTAACGACGACCTTTTGTTAACGATCGTTAAAGACGACCCTTCGTTAACGACGACCCTTCGTTAACGATCGTTAACATAATTGTCAATGTTTTTTTTTTCAAAAACGATCGTTTTTTCAAAAACAATCGTATAAAAAACGGTCGCAAATCGTTTGAATAAAAATGATCGTTTTCAAAAAGGATCGCTATTTGTTTTCTAAAAGTTGAAAACGAGTGGATCGTTTTTAAAAACGATCGTTTTTTCCGAAAACGAAACGATCGTTTTGGAAAACGAAACAAAAAACGATCGTTTAACGATCGTTTACAAAAACGATTAACAACCCTAGATACAGTATATATCCAAACTATCCAGTACTAAACTTAAATACAGTTTACATTTATTCTAAACAATACAGTACAAAACCATGATACAATACAGTGTATGTCATCCAAATTGTCCAGTGCTAAACCTAGATACAGTATTTATCATCCAAACTATCCAGTACTAAACCTAGATACAGAATATATCATTCAAATTGTCCAGTACTAAACCTAGATATAGTATATATCATCTAAACTATCCAGTACTAAACTTAGATACAGTAAATATTATCCAAACTGTCCAGTACTGAACCAAGATACAGTTAAAATTGATAAATTAAAATTTTAAATTGTACACCTTACATTTAATGGTGAGAGATGCAACTTGATCTTAAATTTAACTCATTATGTTTTACAAAATCAAAAAAGTTGGATGAATGAACAAATTCTTCGAAATGTTTAATTCAATTTAGAACTCAGAATTTTGGATAAATTTAGAATTTGTTTGGAAAAATTTAGAATTCCTACCAACTGTTGCTGATGTTATCTCATCTTCACTGTTCTCAAGACCATCACAACTAAAAAGATTTAAGGATTAGTGCAATTATGGAATCTAAGAGATTCTTGCCGTTTTAACATTTTCATAAAGAGAGGCATTTAGAGAGAGAAATTATTTCATACAAATGTTAAATTCTAGGATTGACCAAGTTACTATTTCTCTAGCGGTTGCTAGATCAGCGGACAGACTTAAATTAAGTTAACCTTCGTGTTTAACTAAAAACTAACCTCAACAAGTTGGAATTTAATGGTTATATCCGTTCATTTTCAAAATATTCGGTTCGTTTACCAGACAGTATCAGTAAAAAACTAACCTAACAGGATCAGTTTAAAAACTAACCTAACAGGATCAGAATAAAAACTAACCTGACAGGATCAGTATAAAAACTAACCTAACAGGATCAGAATCAAAAAGAGTCCATTTAGGAGAACTTACAGCAGCCAGCACTGCCCCTTTTAGTTTCCGTCTAAATATATTAGTTATTTAGAGAGTTTAAAGGGACAGTAAGCATAATTTCAAGGCACCTTCCATGCAAATATGGGAAAGTCCGATTCACAACGGTACCCTTAAGACATTTATCTGATCAATAATGTAGACGATAATTTCGTTTTTGCTAGCTTTGTAACTTTTAAAGAGAAACCGAATTATGAAAATATCACTTTTTAAAAAAAAATAATGAAAATTTATATCTAACTTATACTTGATCAGACAACCCGTTTCAGAGTACCGTTGTGAATCGGGCAATTCTATCTTTGTATATTAGGTCGCTTGAAATTGTGGTTACAGTCTCTTTATCTTAATTATTCAAACTTTAAAATATCTTTAAAAAAGCAATATTTGTAGAGCGGGAAAATGTTATGTAAACAAGTCAGAGGATAGACATTGTTTTGATACAGAACATTTTACAATTTTAATAAACACCAGACGGACCCATCATCTTGGGATTAGACAAAAAACTAAACCAGTCTTACTGATCAAAGATGTTTTGAGGACTAGAATCATGAAAACTCTTAATAATATCATTCATTATTGAAAGCTGTCCTTCACGAAAAACCCGGGTTTTTTTTAATGAGCATTGCATTTGAAACGGAGTGTTGGATGTTCTCAGGAACATCTTTAGCACATAAGGTCATTCTTATCTTAAAGGGAGTGTTCGCGAAAAATGAAGGGGGGGGTATAGGCTTAATGCGATAAAAAAGCACTTTTGATCGCTACTAATATTACTTCTATCTGTTGTGTCTATAAGGAGAAAATTTTTTAAAAACGACTCACACCGAAAAACGTAGTGTCCATACAAATTCAGAAAGATGAAACATTCAACTCGGAGCGTAAACAAATCAATTTCATTCCAAACAATTCATATTACAAACAATAGCCATCGATTATTTTTCGACGCATTCGTAAACAGTTGATATTTCATAATATTTTGTATTTTTCATGGTCTGAGAGTTACTTTTGAAAACATTTATTCCTGTTTCGAGGATTTTTGATAATGAAGACGACATAAATCCAGCGCCAGCGAAAACTATTAAAAAAAAAATCAAAAATATTATGAAATATTAACTATATAAGAATGCGTCGAAAAATAATTGATGACTACTGTTTGTAATATCTGAATGATTTGTTTGGAATTAAATTGATTTGTTTACGATCTCAGTTGAATGTTGCATCTTTCCGAATTTGTATGGAAACTGCGTTCTTCGTGTGAGTCGTTTTTAACAATTTTCTCCTTATAGACACAACAGATAGAAGTAAGATTAGTAGCGATCAAAAGCGCTTTTTTATCTCATTAAGTCTATACCCCCCCCCCCCATTTCATTTTTCGCAAACACTTCCTTTAAGTTTGCAGATTATGGTAGAATGTGGGATTTAAAATACGTAAACAATACCTTTTCAGTCAAACTAAATATTACATTTCTGAGACTATATTCTCATTTAATGTGTAATATACAGAGAAAATATAACAAATGTAATGATTAGAAAAAATGACATTAAAACAAATAAATATTCTAACCTTGAATTGAATTTTCGGAGTTCGTCCACTCCTTCATGAAGATGAATTTTTGGGGCAAACCTTTCTCGTTCCCGAACCCATCTAATAATATTTATGTTATTTTAATATGCTCATTAGATGGCAATTTCCTTAATTGTCTCTTTATAAAATTCTGCAAGTCAATTTTCAGAGGGCAAGATAAGAATACCTCAGAGTTTTTCCTCAAAAAAGGATTTAAGAGTGTCGTTGTTAAAACGAGTATGGAACTCTTTTAAAGGAGGTCCATTCGAGATAAAGTAAACAGTCCCTTTAAGCGAAATAAACCTGTGATTGAGCGCTTCCTCTACCGTTATTCTTTCCTCTGGTGATACTGTTAACATTTGGCGAACCAAGTCCTAAATAAATAAATATATATATATTAATCTACTTTTTGAAATATTCAGATGTGGAGAAGTACATGCTTTACATTAATACCATAATATGAATAGGAAGTAATTGGAAGAATCGTTTGTGCGGAGAACTGATTGCTAAAAGAGTGTTGAACTAGTTAAAGTTGGTAAAAGTAATAATAATAATAAAGTTAGTAAAATTAGTAAGAGTGGTAAAAGTAATAAAGTTGATGATATTGGTCCCTTTAACGGTATGATAAGAAAAGAAGTTTTAAGTGACCCTCCATGTAAAGATGACAATTTCATTGACTGGCGGGTTGTATTTTTCAAAATTACTTGCGAATTTCCACTACAGGAAAACATGTAGTAATTATCAAAATTAAAAATGGTAAACCTAAAATAAATACAATATCTTCCACATTATTGATCAGATAAAGGTTTCAAGGATATATCTTTGAATCATTTATTGCCATATTTTCAGGGAGGAGAACTGAAAATTACGCGTACGCTCCCTTTAATTCATTTAAAATTAATTTCAAAACAAGCATTGTCCGGAACTCTTTTTTATTTACCCGTGTTAACATTTCAGCAGTTTAATTAAAACAGTTTAGCAGAAGAAAATACAGATTCAATAAATTTGTTGAGCTCAAAAGTTTCAAAGTTTCTAAGTTTGGCCGAACTTGAAGCTAAGAGGAATTCTTAATTTTTCTTCAACTTAGCGCAGAAGTTAATAGTTTATAATCTAATCCTTTCAATCCTAATTAATCGGAAAGGGACCCGGAGCTTTTTTTATGATTGATCTTTGATGACGAGACTGGAAGGGTTAGATTAAAGAACATTGGTTTGGCTTGTCTGCGCGAGGGTTTGTTTGTCAAAACAACTGGAGCGATAGCGCCAAACTTTTTTGCGGGACCTCACATAAAAAGATTTATGTTGTCGTAAAAAATTATACTTTTTAATTTTTTTGAAATCCACCAATAAAAGTAGAAAAATATAAAAAAGGACACGAAATTTTGCTAATTAATCTAAATCATGCTAAAAAAACAAAAACAAATATGAGGGTAAAACAGTGATGAATAAATACCTTTGCATGATCACTGATATATTGCCACCTAGCGGTGTTCAGATAAAGTTTCCCACCACAAACAACCTAAGCAAAATAAAACTTATTATTTATAAAAATCTTAAAAGATATCTAACTCTTGATTTTTCTAGTCTCACAGTTGCTATAAGAAGGTTGCTAGCAGAGAAAGTGTTGAAACCTTTATATTATTTGCCACGTTTATCGCTCATTATCTACTATTCACCCTGACAAATCTATTTTTATCTATTATTTACTTTAACCCTATTCCGACTGGGGATGGGGGGGGGGTAAGGACCCCCCTGTCGTTTTTTGAAGTATTGGTGACTTTTCTAACAAACACATGCCCCTCGCTTTATACTTAATACTTATACTTTGATACTTAATGCCTGAGTCCTCAGGCATACTGCCTGAATGCCTTATCTTACCTAGCTTTACCCGAAAAATCTGTATTAAGACCTAGTTCCGGTCATTGGATTTAGTTCCGGTCATTGGATTTATACTTTTTACAGCTTTTTGGACAGCCTTGAACATAAGGAAGGAGATTGCAAAATTGTTGCGAAGAAATTTTGTATCGATTTTTGCACGGATGCATTTAAAGATAATTTGCACATTTTCAGCTTTCCTTGAATACAAATTAAGTTCTTGAATATTTTGGAAATATTATTGCATATTTAAATTCTCCGTGGTAAGGGCTTCTCAAAAATTTATTATTATCATATTTCGAACACTTTTTGCTTTTAAACATTTTTTGCTTAATAACTTGATATTGCAATAAATATTTGAAATTTCAAATTTTTTTTTGCAGATTATTAAAGTAGAGCCCAAGGACTTTCCAAACATCTATCAAATGTTATAGGGAGTTTACCATGCACGCATAATTTAAAATTTACCCAGCATTGTCTATAATTTACTTCATATAATATATAATTTACCTCATATAATCTATTATTTACCTCGTATAATCTATAATTTACCTCATATAATCTATAATTTACCTCGTATAATCTATAATTTACCTCGTATAATCTATCTTTTGTCCCTAAGAACGGCATAGAACCAGATAATAGGATATGTAATAAAACACCTGAAATAGAAGAACATAATAATTACATTATTATGTTACTATAATTTAAAGCATTATCCGCAAATTAAACTATACACTAGTATAGTACAGTATACAGTATTCAAAGGAATTGAGTCTTTGCCACAAACGCTAATTTTCTAATCACTATAGCTATGGAACTAAAGACCCTAGATATTTCAAACTATGATTTTTGTTTAATCAAATATTCTGAGCTTGAAATATCTAAGGTTTACAACAGCAGGTTCCAAAGATAAAGGGGTTTGAATATTTGAGTTTGTGGCAAGGACTCAACTCCTTTGTAATTATTTAGTTTAAAAATTAACATTTTATCATTTTAGGTTAAAACTAAATATTTTCATTTTAAATAATAGATTTTTAGCGGTAAATTTTCAGGATTGTAGGGTTGGGAAGAAGTATTCGCTAATTAGTGGCTGGTTGGGTTTGGTTTGGTTGGATGCAGGGGAAAACAAGAAAACATGAAGAGGGAAATATTTAACAAAAGAATACTAATGTAGGAATACATTACTACAACCAAATAGAACACAATTGATGAACATATAGAAATTTTACAGTGCGCTACACTGCACATTTTTAGCCAGACAGTATGGTCATCATAATACAGTAAGAACCAACAACTGTGGATATAATAGAAGGGTTTTATTTAAGAATTTAAAGTCATGGCTGAAGTCTAAAAGTCATCTGTCTATTCCAGAGTTTTCTGTTTCTAACTATATGACATGACTAAAGAAGAATCCTTAGGGATTTTAAGCGTTAAAGTAAACAAAAAACTATTTTTAAAGTGATTGTAAAAACGTATTTGATTGGATTTTTTTTGTAAGAAAAAAACACACGGAAAAGTTTAGGTCCAAAAAATATCCTGATTTAAATTTGTTTAATGAAACAGATTTGTGTTTTTATATAAAAATACAAAGACAATTGAGAATATCTGAGAAATAATTTGAATTACCGCATTTTTTCATTTGGTTTGTTTACTTTCTCTTTTTTTCTATTTCTTGATGTAAAGGAATTGAGTCTTTGCAACAATCTCAAATATTTGAATCCATATATATTTGCAACCGGATGGTTTGAAGCTTTGATGTTTCAAAATAAGATTATACAATGTAAAAGAATTAATAGTTTGAAAAAGCTAAGGTCTACGACATTGGGTACTAAAGATATTGGAATTAGAAAATCAGGGTTTGTGGCAAAGACTCAATTCCTTTACACAATTATGTATAGATCCAAAAAAGGAAACTCGTCGCCGAATTTAAAGAATTTGAGCGGCGGTTTAAATTTAAGCCGCGGTTTAAATATGGTTGGTTCCACTTAAAATTGTATCAAATGTTTCAAGATTTAAGCTGGCGCTTAATTTAAACCGGGTTTTGGCGGATTTAAACCGCGGCTCAAATTCTTTAAATTCCATCTCGGAAGTTTTGTTAAATAATACTCTTTAAAATTTCCGACTATAAGCAGAATTAATTGTTTTTACTTATTTATAAATTCCTTTCTCTCTCTGTAGATCTTATTTTCGCATCACAACCTTATAAGAGGAAGAGAGAAAGAGGGGAATGCAGAGTCAACTAATTATTTAACTAAATTAATGTTAGACAAAGTATACCGTGGCATGAATATTATACATATTAACATATCTACAATAATGAATTACATTCATACAAATAATATAACGGGTGTATGAATATATATATATATGTATATATAGTGTTATGCTTGGAGCGGGGTTAAGTAAAATAATGATTTATAAAAATGTATAAAAATATGGTATGTTGCAGAGGAATTCATAAAAACAATCTGGAATAAACTAGCCATCTACTGGTTTCCTCTACACTAACCTGTAGACCAGACATCAACTGGTTTCCTCTACGTACACTAACCTGTAGACCAGACGTCTACTGGTTTCCTCTTCACTAACCGGTAGACCAGACATCTACTGGTTTCCTCTACACTAACCTGTAGACCAGACATCTACTGGTTTCCTCTACACTAACCTGTAGACCAGACATCTACTGGTTTCCTCTACACTAACCTGTAGACCAGACATCTACTGGTTTCCTCTAAACTAACCTGTAGACCAGACATCTACTGGTTTCCTCTAAACTAACCTGTAGACCAGACATCTACTTGTTTCCTCTACACTAACCTGTAGACTAGACATCTACTGTTTTCCTCTACACTAACCTGTAAACCAGACATCTACTGGTCTCCTCTTCACTAACCTGTAGACCAGACATCTACTGGTTTTTCTCTACACTAACCTGTAGACCAGACATTTACTGGTTTCCTCTCCACTAACCTGTAGACCAGACATCTACTGGTTTTCTCTACACTAACCTGTAGACCAGACATCTACTGGTTTCCCATAAGCTTTTCTCATAACAACTTCAGGACTCATAAAGTGCGGAGTACCAATCCTTCCTCCGTTTACGCTCTGCTGACTCTGTTCTCCTCTACTTGGTAACTGTATTGCTACTCCGAACCCACCTAAAAGTCATCATTTGACATGAATATTTAAAGATATTTAGAATTTTGTGACGAAAACAATACGTCATTAACGAGATGCAAAAAAATTATTAAAAGAAAATTTGTTATGCAAAGTTCATAAAATGTTCAAAGAAACTGATTTCTTGTAATCTTAAATCTTCTAATCTGATGATGTAAACCTTCAAGATTTAAAGAAAATGTTAAACCATGAGATTTTTTTTTTTACTTCAGGGACTCCTGTACTACTCATTAGTCATTATTTTGCTTTGAATGTTAGATATTTTAAAAGTTTTGAAAAATGAAAAACTTTAGAATTTTTCAGATTTGTTCCTGGACTTTGGAAAGTAATTGAAAGTTTACTTGAAAGTTTTCTACTTCCAAATATAAACCTTGTTGGGTATATTTCTACCCAGAGGCCGAATTTAAAGAATTTGAGCAGCGGCTTAAATTTAAGCCGCGGCTCAAATATGGTTGATTTCACATAAAATTGTATTCAATGTTTCAAGATTTAAGTCAGCGCTCAATTGAAACCGGTTTTTGGCGGATTTATGACGCGGCTCAAATTCATTAAATTCAGAGATAGACTTCTCTTCATGCTACGGAGGAAAAAAAATATAAAACTTCATATTTCTATTTAATTCGGAAAGAATTATTTTCCTGCATTTTACTCACAATTCCATAATTTCCAGATCGAGACAAAATGTTATAAATGGAATTCTCTCAGATCAATATTTATATTTGGTTGTATACTGAACACTATAGTACATCTTAGGTTTCCATGATTTTTTATTGTGTATTCAGATAAATTTATTCTATTTTAAGGTCCGATGAGACAAATATTATGTTAAAGAATTCTAAAAAAGCTTAAAGCAAAAAAGTTTATAAAAATGCAAGTCTAGAATTTGTTGATTTTCCTGTTTAAGAAAACGATCGGAAAGCAATTAATGTGTGTGCTTGTCAACTGGTAAAAACTAGTTTTAAAAAGAAATTTGAAAATACCAGTCTTAATTTTTTTTCATTTTTAAAGGATATGATATGATAAAGTATCAAATATCCTGCATGGAATATGCAAATTTTATTATTGCTACTGTTTTCTATTCTAAAATGCAGAAATCACAACAAAAAGTTAAAATCCTTCCATGAAAGAAGGGCGGAAAGCACCCTGGAAAATGTGGAATAAATGTCGTCTTCGATCTTTCTTTTGAAGTTTCTAATTGTTGCAACGGATACATTTCTTAAAATGTTCAAAAGCCAGCACTTTTGTGTTGTACGAGGTATGTTCAATAAGTTTTGCGAATTTTTTTTTAAAGTACTTCTAGACCCCTGCAAAATATCCTGAATTGGTAAGGTAGTTTTTCATGGTCTTTGGAAAAGATATTAATTGGTTTGCTGAAACGTAGATTACAACTATAAAAACCCTTAAGCCCTCCTTTGACTTTTAAATTTATCCAACCTCTATAGCACGTATAAATGGATAATGTTTGAGTATATAGATACAATATTTAGGATGTGAGAAAGCTAATTGCGTCCAACATATTATCTGATCGACATTAGCTGGTCAGAAAATTGAATCGGTAAAAATATCAGAAATATCTGATCAGAAAAGTTTGAGATGTCTAGAAGTACCTTAAAAAATTCGCAAAACTTATTGAAGATCCCTCATATGGATGAATCTCCATCTTATGCATACCTTCGGATTAATTTGATTCCTCTTCGATTAAGTGAGGGATCAAGCATTGATCCTCAAAAGTACCAACGTTGGATATTGAGATCAAGCGTGAAAGATTAACAAAAGTTCCGAGCTCAGAGCACATTTTTAGAAATAATTGAGTTGCAAATTACAAAACATAAGCGATATTTCATAATAAAAAGAAAAAGACGACACGAATTATATTTTTTCTAATTCCCTCTGTACTTAGTGAAGCACAATTACCTAGTTTAACAGGGGCACTATTCTCTTTACTTGCAAGCAAAACACAGTGAGGTTTTATATCTCGATGAATGATGTCGTTATCATGACAATATTTCAGAGCCTAAACATACAATATGTCAGAGCCTAAACATACAATATTTCAGAGCCTAAACATACAATATTTCAGTCCTAAACATACAATATTTCAGAGCCTAAACATACAATATTTCAGTCCTAAACATACAATATTTCAGTCCTAAACATAACAATATTTCAGAGTCTAACTAAACATACAATATTTCAGTCCTAAACATACAATATTTCAGTCCTAAATACACTATTTCTTACTGGGAGAAGAAGAGAGGAGAGATTACTTTGAGATGATTATTTATTAATATTCCGCTCTTGTTGACAAAAGTTATACATAAACCCTTCACCTCCCCTTTCTGAAGGAATGATTGAAGTTGAGGGGGGAAGGGGAAGAGGGAGGGGGGTATCAATACATCTTGAGATCAACTTGAATCTTTTTCTTGATCGAACCTCGATTACAATTTTTCTTTAAGTTCTAAAATGAACATTTTTCATGTATCACTCAAAATTCGTCAAAACTAAAACCAGGGATCTTATATACAACAATATTTATTACAGTTAACACAACATAAAAATAGCAAATACGATAAATATACTTTTAATGGAAGAAAATGGACTTTTAGGTAGGAGTATAGAGGACGTGAGTCAGACTCTAATAAAACGCATAGATAACTTCCAGTATATATATTTCTTATAACTTATTACTAGAGGGTTCAGAACTAGAGTCAATATCGATATCGCACGTGTAGACTGTAGAGATCATATCAGTGCTAATGCCCCGTATCCGTTCTATCTCATTCTGTTGAATCTTGTGGAACTAGTTTAACGCGGCCAGGCATCGTCTTCCACAGGAGTCCATTAACTTTCAACCAGGACCTCTAGGATACAATCTAACTGTAACTGTAGAGCATGCTTGAGGCAAATCCTTTCCAACATCTTGTTTGCAAGAAGAACCATAATGATTAAAGTTAAAGATATAAATGCAATTTTCAAATATAAAGTATATTCCTCCCCTCCCTTGATATCCTTGATATCAGTTCCCTTACCTGTAGGATTTGTCTAATGTAATGGCTTGCCACTGCTTCACTATAAACGAACCCAGCAGTTGCTCTCTGAAAATTAGACAATGTTTAGTCATTCAAATAGAAAATATGTTTAATACTTTTTTTAAAGTCAGTTAAGTCAGATCTATGTTTATACGCACTGCAATACATCAGATTTTCATTTGTATTCGCTGCAATAAATCAAATTTTCATTTATATGCGCTGCAATACATCAGATTTACATTTATTTGTATCCCCTAAATTTTAAATCCGATCAACATTTGCACCCTTCTAATACATTATATCTATATTTTTATCCCCTCTAATACATTAGATCTACATTTGTATCCCCTCCAATACATTAGATCTACATTTGTATCCCCTCCAATACATTAGATCTACATTTTTTATCCCCTCCAATACATTAGATATACATTTGTAACCTCTCCAATACATCAGATCTACATTTGTATCCCATCAAATACATTAGATCTACATTTGTATCCCCTCTGATACATTGGATCTACATTTGTATCCCCTTTGATACATTAGATCTACATTTGTATCCCCTCCAATACATTAGGTATACATTTTTATCCCCTCATATTCTTATTATCGTATACATTCTTTTTATTCCTACAATCGCTAAACAGTTATACCTTGACTATCTCGAAGCAAAGGTCTGAACCGGACATATACTCGAACACCATGTAGAGCATTCCTTCGCTAAAACATGGACATATTAATTCCTGTGTAACGTTGAAATTACGAATATACAATTCCAAAAAAATAAATTCAAACAATTCTCTTCTAAAGTTCAAGTTCGAACAGACATCATTCCAATTTTGGAAATTTTTTATTTTTTCTTAAACCATAGACCCCCCCGGCCCATTACCTTGAATAAGTTTCTAGTAGTTCTACAATATGTGGATGTTTCAGCATATGACATATTGTTGCTTCTCTCTTCAGATCATCAAGAGATAGACCGGGACTAGAGGTAAACTTGGCAACATCTACAATCTTTACAGCAAACTCCTAGATAGATAGATAGATAGATAGATAGATAGATAGATAGATAGATAGATAGATAGATAGATAGATAGATAGATAGATAGATAGAATAAAAAAGAGGGAGCTTTTCCACGGAGAGCAATAGCCTCCCCCTCCCTTTCAGGGGTTCAATGAGGAATAGCCCCCATACCATCCCCTTTTACAGATTATTACAGGAGACATTAGTTCCAAAACTAACACTTGGCCCATTTCTAACACTTTGTGTTAGAAATGGGAGAGATAGGTCAAGTGTTAGTTTTGGAACTAATATCCCCTGTATTAAAGGCATCCATGATACAATTAATATAAATCAAGTACCTGTGCTGTATGCCTGTGAACGCATCTTCTCACAACGCTAAAAGGTCCTTTCCCTATTATCTCATGAACCTAGAAATATTTGAAAATTATTTAAAACCTAATCGACATTTTTGTATTAAATGTTATGTCTGTTTACAGGATCATGTTCTCCGTCCAGCTACAATACAATTATAGCATAACATTGCAACTTTAAAGGGACTAAGCGTAATTTCAAGTGATCTTCCATTTAAAGAGGACCATCCCCGATTCACAACGGTACCCTTTAAAACTTTGACTGATGAAGGATATCAGACATATTTATTTTAATCTACTGAAACCATTATGATTGTTCACTTACTTTTTAAAAGTGGTAAAAAATAAAAATTTTCTTTCGAATGTTTTAAATGCCTGGGTATCTGAGGAATTTGGAAAATCTGTGGAATTGCCAAAATGCCAAGGAATTTGGGTTATTCCCAAAATACCTTGGAATCTGGGGAAATCCTCAAATATCTTGGAGAATCTGAGGATGGTTTATTTTCAACTAAGGGAAATTTCTCAACTGCCTAGCAATTTTGGGAAATTTCCCAAATACACAGACATTTGGTGAATCTGGATAATTCCCCAAAAAGCCTGGGAATCTGGTGAATTCACCTGATGCCTATGAATCAGGAGAATTCTTTAAATATCTGGGAATCTGGGAAATTCACCAAATTTCTGGGAATAAGGGCAGTTCCCCAAATTCCTATTTTCTTTAAAGTATAATTTCTGTCGAGTCAAGCACAGTGTTAAAGAAAAACTCAAGCGGGTTCCGGTTTGTTTGAAGAAAAGAAAACTTTCTACTCGACTTGACTTGACTACTCGGCATTGTCCTTTTTGCATGTAGGGCCACTTGAAATTACGTCACAGTCCCTTCGAATTATCCAAAGAGCAAGCTGAAAAGAAAGCGAAGCATTGTGAATTTATAGCACAGCACAGCATAAATTTCTGATCGAGAATTAAATAATGTGTAAAGCGGTAATGATTGAAAATTTAATTTCTAATGGAATTCATGTTTGATTTCAATTTCAGATCTGATCTAACATTAATCAAAATAAAATTCAAAAATTTTTCATTTCAACTTGGAGAATTTAAAATCTTTTTTAAAAGATGCATATTGTAAGACAAAACTTTGCTTCATTGAGAAATTACTAAATTAAGTTTGGGCGTCCCAAAATCTGTTATTTCAAATTTGATTGGGATAGCAAATAAATCTGCACTTGTAAAATAAATTATATAATATAGAGATATGCTTTGCAAGTTAAATACGTATACATATATAGATTATGTTACTGACCAATAAAATAATCTTTTTTTAAATGTTTTTATTTTTAGTTCAATTCAAAAATAATATAATTTAGTTTTTTTTTTCCCAACAAATGAACCAAATAATTTGCGTATCATGAAGATATAGAGATAACTTGATATAAAACTATTTCTACTTCAGCCCTTTTTCCCAGTTTTCTATCATAAGGTATTTTTTCATATTAACTTTCATTTTGAACTAAAGAACAGAATTCGAAAAAAACTAGCTGAAGGGCCCGGCGTTGCCCGTGGATTTTTTTTATAAAATAAAAAAATATTTTCAAAAAAATTTGAAATTTTTTTTACTTTTTTAGCCTATTTCACCCCCTCGGCCACCCAATCGGTCAAGCCGTTTGGCCGGCTATAAATAAATAAATAAATAAAAGATCAACCATCATTCCGTGGAAATCAAGGCCGAGACCCCATCAAAAATAACCACCAAAGGATGGAAATTAATTAATAATAATAATAATAATAATAATTATAATAATCATAATATACCTGGCGACTTGAACAAGAGTTGCGACACAGTCCGTGTCGCTGTCTACACAGCAGTCCCACGGTCCTGTGTTCTCCTGAAAACATAAATATAGGTAGTAAAAACATTTATATGATTTTTTTGAACACAATAACAGTAGTATTCTAGATTTTTGAAAAATTAGTCAAGAGTGTATTTTTTATCTAACTCCGAAGGTGCTTTTTAGCATTCTTTCTTTTCTTTCTGTAAGTTAAAAGAAGATAATGATGCTTTCAACATTTTTTATTTCAATTCAGGTTAAAGCAATTTCAAATTTATATGTAATGTTTCCTAAAAACAATATGATTGGTGACATTTAAAATACCACAATCTAAAGCTTAAACCCTGTACAAAATATAAACATATAAAGGAATTGAGTCTTTGCCACAAACTCATTCATACATCTTTGCAACCTGATGGTGTAAACTTTTGATATTTCCAGCTTAGTTACAAACATATATCGATTAGAAAATCAGAGTTTGAAGCAAAGACTTATAATTTCCTTTGGATCTGGTTTCAGTTGTCTTGAAATCTGTTCTCTTGTGAATAATACTGTTTAATTGTTAGATTAAATAGATTAAAAGTTTTCTTGTAAGTTTATTAAACGGTAGATTTGAGCCTTTCATTTAGTTTATCTGCAATTCAATTCAGAGAATGGAGTGAGTTTCGTTTTCTTTTTTTTTCTTGAAAATCATTCTCAAAATACAGGTTAATAATGCAATGAAGCTGTTTAGCTGGACATTTTCTACGAACTGTTAAACTTTTTTGGAATTCATTTTACAAAAAATCAATGTACAATTGTTTTGATTTCAACTATGTTGCTGAATGAATTGTAAATAAAATAAAGCCCGTGGCATTTTGTAATTTCCCGAACTTTTAACCTTTAATTGTGAGATTTAAAGATTTTAGAATTCTGACATTTAATTAAAAAAAAAACTTTGGAGGTTTTTATAAAAAAAATTTGATTACTTTTTTAGAAAAGCGCAATTTTTATTTTTTCTAACCTGGACATACAGACTGATTTTGTTTTAATGTAACAGATACGTTGTCTTCCACTTTTCATACAAAAATATGAATCTGTGGATCAGCTGTTCAAGAAAATGTTTTTTTGCTCTAAACTAGGGAATAATTGGTTTATGCTCTTCTGAATATTTTAAAGATTCTGTATTTGGTGATGTATTCCTGTTTTATTTTTTCATCTATACATTTAGGAATCATTTAGTAAAATAGGATCTATTTATTTATTGATTGTATCAATTATTCTGTAAATACATTCTTTAGATTTCTTTATTCTGTCTTGAACAGTTTAGACCCAAATAGCAGGTCAGGACTGTATAGTTTAGACAAGCGGTTAACAGTTTAGACAAGGGTTGCATATTTTAGACATGCTGTGCATAGTTTAGAAAGGACTGTATAGTTTAGACATAAACTGTATAGTTTAGACAAGGACTGCATAGTTTAGAAAAGGGGTGGATAGTTTAGAAAAGGGCTGATGGTTTAGACAAGGGCTGGATAGTTTAGACTAAGGCTGGATAGTTTAAACAAGTGGTGGATAGTTTAGACAAGGGCTGGAAAGTTTAGACAAGTGCTGGATAGTTTAGACAAGGGCTGGATAATTTAGATTAGGGTTGGATACTTTAGACAAGGGCTGGATAGTTTAAACAAGCGGTGGATAGTTTAGACAAGGGCTGGATAGTTTAGACAAGGGCTGGATAGTTTAGACAAGGGCTGGCTAGTTTAGACAAGGGCTGGATAGTTTAGACACGGACTGGATAGTTTAGACAAGGGCTGGATAGTTTAGACAAGGGCTGGATAGTTTAGACAAGAGCTGGATAGTTTAGACACGGACTGGATAGTTTAGAAAAGGGCTGGATAGTTTAGACACGGACTGGATAGTTTAGACAAGGGCTGGATAGTTTAGGCAAGGGCTAAACTTCTTCTACAGCTGATTTCCTTAAGCTTGACTAACTGTAGAAACAATACAGCAAGGTATGTAGATTGCTACATATTTAATATTCAACGCCATTCTCTCATTTTAAACTTATCTGAAAATTCACTAAATTGTATTTTTATATCGTCTTCGTTCAATATCATTTAATAATATTTTGTTATTTTCATTTTTACTTCAAACTAATTTATTGTAAACTTATATATTCCTCTTAGTACATGAATTAAATTAAAAATAGATCAAAAAAGTCTAAAATAAAAATCATTTGAAAATATACAGTGAGAACCAGAAAACTGTGGAATAGGAAGACGACATTATAACAATACTTAAGTGTATTTGATGTTGTTACAAAGCAAATTGTTTCACTAGTAACACATGTAATTACTCATTAAGTTAAATGGGTCTGTTTACACTGCAAAAGTGATGTGTGTCATGTTCATTGGACTATCTAACGTCATGACTTGAGTCTTAAAGTCATCTTTTCTTTCTGGCTCTCACTGTAGTTACAATATTCAAGATTAAAAACATAAAAACAGTTGTCACTAGAGAGAAAAAGGGAATTTATAGGGTTAACATTGCAAGCAAAATTGGTTTAATTTGCAATATTGTAGAAAAGAACCGTATAGTATTCAGTAATTCGTAGTTTTATTCTGTTTAACCTACTACAATATAATTAAGTTTCAGATATTTTGACTGTAAGCTTTTGCAATGAATTCCAAGGTTCTAAAATAGCTAATTATAAGATGGATACATTCAATTCCTTCATTGTTATTAATGGTTAATTACAGTACGGTTAGAAATGTGTATGGTTATCTATGTACAATATCTAAACTGTTGCAAACATGGTACAGAGTGTGTTTGTTATGTACAATCACTGTTACAGTGTCTGCTTATACAGACTGTAAAAATGTGTACAGTGGACATTGTAGAGTGTACAGGTTTTCTCATAGTGTACTGTATCTGCTTGTGTACAATGTACAGTGTGAATAGTTATGTACAGTATAAAGGTTGTAAGAGGGTGTGGTGTCTAAACACAGCTGGTTACTGTCTCAGGTATAGAGGAGGACTGTACTCACATATTGATTTTCATCCTCCAGCCTCCAGTTCTAGCTATATATCTAACTATCTAACCAGTTTTAGCTATATATCTAAGTATCTTAACTATCTTACCAGTTATAGCTATCTATCTAACTATCTAACCAGTTCTTGCTATCTATCTAACCAGTTATAGCTATCTATCTAACTATCTTACCAGTTATAACTATCTATCTAACTATATAACCAGTACTTACTATCTATCTAACTATCTTACCAGTTATAGATATATATCTAAATATATAACCAATTCTATCTATCTATCTATCTATCTATATATCTATCTATCTACCACTTATAGCTATCTATCTAACTATCTAACCAGTTATAGCTCTCAATCTATCTATCGAACCAATTCTAGCTATCTATCTAACTATCTATTAAGTTCTAGCTATCTATCAACTGTCTCAACAATTCTAGCTATCTATCTAACAAGTTCTGGCTATCTATCTATCTGTTTCGCGACCAGATCTGGTCTCGATCTATTCGTGAGTAGCCCCTGGATGCTCTCTCCTAGTTTCTGATGGTATCCCGTATAAGATGTTTTTCAAATTCAATTGGCTTTACCACATGTTAGCCACCCTGAATAATAAAGTGAATGTTCTACACAAGAAAGGACCGACTAATGACCCAGGAAACTTTCGCATGATCTCTCTTACATCTTCCATTGCGAAAACTTACCATCTCCTCCTTGCAAAAAGACTGACCAAGCTTTTAACAGTGAATAATTATATTAATGAGAAAGTACAGAAGGCCTTAAAGAGATTAGAAGCCAAGCAAAGACAAATAAGAAAATGGTCCATGTAACATTTTTCGATTTAGAAGATTCATTTGGATCAGTGCCATACCCTATCATCAAACATACCCTCAAAAGATTAAAGGTTCCTGCAGAAATTCAGCTTTATATCAACACCCTATATCATAATCAACTTTCTAATGTATTTATGGACAACTTCTCTACTGA